ATTCAGTTATTTTTTGTAATTCTCTCTTTAAATGGTACAGTTACATTTAAAGAAACACTGATCCGCTCAGAGCTGTAAACTGACTGCAGCACACAGGTTTCACACTGAACAGCTCGCTGGAAACAGATTATTCCAATGTGATTCATTAATTAACATGATTTTTGTTCTGTTTCTATCATGAGTCCTTCTGTGACTGCTGGACGCTGTGTAAACACAAGCGTCCAGCAGTCTAAGCTAGTGAAAGAGACACTTTTGCTCATTTTATACAAATTAAAGTGATGTTTTGTTTTATTGGGCAGGAAGCTGCCCGTGTTAAACTGAGCAGGAGACCATCTGAATTAAGGAGTTGGCTAATTAGGCCTAGTCTTTTATCAACCAAGCTTTTGAACAGGATGTATTAAGTAAACTCGAGACTCCGTTGGGCTGCTTAGAGGTATCAGAAAGAGAATGTTAGCTTGTGGTCACAGAAACAGGTTTGAGTCTTGTCAGAGTTTTCATTATTTGATCTTTTTATTTTAACTTACAAATATTTTATTTTAAAGTTGGTTTCTTCAATGTAGAGGTCTGAGCACTCTTCACTGCACTGCATACGCTCCTTTACAAAACAACATGGTGCATGCTGTGCAGTGCAGCATTGGTTTCTCCAGTGTGTGCAGTGCATGCATTGGAAAAACCAAACAGCCACTCCATAAATGCATGGCACAGCATAGAAGAGCCACGTTGACAAGACGAGACTTGGGTGTACATCAGCATCTAAAGGTCAAAGGTCGAAGCAGATGTTATTATTATTATTGTGGCCATAGTTCAGCTGTGGCTTTAAGGTCTGCTGTTGAAAACTGAAAAATACAACTAACATTTACATGTGCATGCCACTTTGACAGTTGATTCTTTTCATGAGTGGTCAGACACTGTGTTGCTGTGAACTATGAGATGATATTATCTGTTTTCCTTTCATAAAGGTTGATTCACTGTATCCTCTGCTAAATGACGTTATAAAGCAATCAGTGAAGCAGCTTTCTTAATACCTAGAGACAAGCTCTTATTACAGCTCCCACACAGATACTTGTCCTGTCACTCAGTTAGGAACCTTCCTAAATGAAAGTGACTATTCCAGGTCCACAAAATGGTA